GGGGGGGGGGGAGAGGGGGAGAAGCTAATCACAATGCTTTCCAAGGGCAACACCATGTGTATGGAATTCAGCAGCTTTTGCAGCATTATGCATGGCTGGTCAGCTCTCTTTTCAGCGTAGTGCGCCCGATGGTCAGTCTTCCTTTCTTCTGATGATTTAGGAAGCTTAGTCTATGCCAGACTATGCTCAATGCATTTTTTATGCTTTTTTTGCATAATTCATCACAAAAACTCATTTTGACAAAAGTGAAGCCGCACCGGTGTGTGCGTAGAAGCATATATCTGTCGAAACAATCTATCTGCTGAAGTATGAAATAGGAGAATAGAAGGATTTCACTTGAATGTCATGTGTATGAAGATATTTTATGATTCGCAGTCTGTGTTTCACCCCTTAGCTGTATACACAGACTGGACAGTGCATGCGGGTAGGAGTAGGAATCATCAGTACAGCCTCCTAACCGCCATGTTTTGAATTGTCGTGTAACTGATTCGCAAGACGGATGAAAGTCAGGAATCTGAAATTGGGAGAGCCGTTCTGGGCTGTAAACCAATCTAGAAATGTAATTTATGCACCGTCCCACATCTTGACATGATGAAGATCAAGCGATTGACCTCACGTTAAAGCAAACTAGTCGCATGAGGGAGTGCTGTATTCCAATCATCACCTGCTACTGGGCAGGGAATACTTATTTCCTACGAATGGGTCAGAAAACCATTGTGACGTTAAATCAGCAGTATGCTGCGTCATATGCGCCACTGTAACCGCGCACTAGCTTACTGTGAAAGTGCATACCCATGCAGGCCCAATAATGCGCACCGTTTTCGATTCCCTTTTTTTGTGGGAAAATGCACCCCACAAACTGCGTCGTTTCTGGACATTCGTTTAGAGAGTTCTCATTTCAGATTGAGAAGTGAGGGGTTAAAAAAGATATGTTTGTGATTCACTTCAGGCTTGCTAGTGACTTCTCAGTCGTGCGCTCTTATTTCCCGAGCTTCTGAATAAATCTTTTTTGTTAGGGATTTTTGGAACTTGCCACAGATTAAATGCACAAAGGGGTTTTAATCGTTGCCTCCCCTCCTCCTCCCCCGCCTCCCCTCCTCTCCAGATTTGACTAACTGGCCCAAGCACCAGAATTCTTATTCCGTTAGTATTCTAGCCACTCCTAACTCCCAGTCCTAGGTTATCTGCATTTATCTCATGCATATGCACTTATACATATACATATGTATATTTTACTATTTAAATCCTTTAACTATTCCTAGCCCCTCACTTATTTTACTTATATTGTCTTTTATTCTAGGCTCAGTTCGCTCGGTCTAAATCATTTCATTAACACTTCACTCACTGTAATTTATAGCTGCAGCGGTGTGTTGTATTTAAATCCACTCGTAGTTATTTCTTGTAGCAATATCTGTGCGCAGAAAACTCCAAAAAGTGGGGATTTTGAACTTCTCTTCATGAAGCTTTTTTCATTTTTTTTCTTTGAGAAAAATGGTTGTTAGCATAACGCGGAGTCCCTGGGGGTTAATTGAGAGGTATTTTTGGATCGCTTCGGATTTATTTGCTTCCGAGGAATGATAAATCTTGGTCCACCAATGCACTCTGCTTTCTGTTTGTGATTGTAGTCACTGCTTTGTTTTTGTGTTTCACTTCAGGATTGCGGAACTGAAGAAACAAATTACAAGGGTGGAAATAATTTTCAGTGCAATCGCATAGGAATACGGGACTACAAAAAAGAGCCGAAAATCTCATTCATTCAACCTCTTCCAGTATCTTTATCATCAAATTTTTTCACACTTTCAGCGAACAAAATTGGTTTCTGCATTTGACAGTTATAAGGATTTTCAAGGGTCTCAAATGCCCACTGTTTTATTTGCTTCCCAGCTCCATAAATTCAAATTTAACTTCCCTTCAGAAGTCTGAAAAATCAAGGATTTTAGTTGGTATGTGAAAGGGGAGAACTGTACCCGGTTTGGATGTCCCCTGTTTAAAAGTGTGTAAGACTTTCTTCATTTCCATCACTTCATCCGATTCCGTGCTTTTCGCCGCATTATCCTTCCGAAAGTGCATTGTTCCCTTCCCTGTTTTGTTTGCTGTCGGCACATTTCCGCTTTCTTGAATAGCTTTCTTCCTTAGCAACAGTTCTGCGAAATTCGCTGGAATTTGATTACTAGGGTAAAATCATTATGCCGCTCAGAACAAGACGAATTGCGTTGCTGTTATTTCTCAAGAACAACTTCCGGTCTTTTTTCCTTCTCTTTGAATTTGTTGATTTTTTTTTTTCAATTTTTTAGCTATTCACGTAGAAAGAAAAAGTGAATATTTTCTGTAAATTTTACTGGGGCTGACGCTTGGAACTGTTGTATCCAGCGTTGTAGCTCTGCTAGCATTTTTTCGTATCATACCCTCCTAACTCAGAGGAACACGAACGAATTTTAAAATTATCGCAAGGGCATGTTGCTCACGTTGTTAACAATCGGTGAACGTCACGCATTTGTGAATATTGCCCTCAGAAAAAAAATACCACTCGAACGACCCGTGACGAAATGGCGCACATAAGTCGAACAGATGGTGTGCAGTACAGGATCGAAGGGCCTTACATACCTGTACCTAACGTTTGGGAGCATCCCAGTAACATTACTGATATGGGATATTCAAACCATATCGGATCCAGATGGAGGGGGCGATGGGTCTTTCAGCGGCATGTTCACCAGTGCTGCAAAAGTGCGTGTCTAAAGCTAAAACTGAACAAAACTCTCTTCTGCATTCCCCGTGCCCCGCTTCCCCAGGAACCCCGTTTCCTCTCCCTCCTTCCCCTTCTTCCCGGTCGCCGTCACGCCAGAAGCCCCACTCCTGCCCTCCCCCGCCCCTCCCCCCTCCCTCGCCCCCTTCCATGAGTACACCGTACACCCTGGATCCGCCTGACTCAAAGTGATGCCTGCGTAGTGTTAGTGTCCTTAGTATTAGCTGTCTTCCCATATGTGAGAAACAATTTGTTATACGCATATTGCAAAAACGCATATTGGGAAGAGGCTGTCTGTGTGTTCATACTTTTTATCACCCACTTTCAACTCGAGAACCAGAAAAGCTGGAAAGCTGAGACTTTGGGAGTATGTGCCTATACCATGCGCGATCCTCCCGTTTTAATTTCATCCTCCGCGAGTGCCTGGGTGCCGCGCATGGATGCTTTAAAAAAATATGCGTATTTTTTGGCAGGAAAGCAATCTCAGGAACCGCACGAGCTAAGGGGCTGAAACTTTGCAGGGATATCCCCTGTGCATCTGCTAGTTAAAGATTTTAAATTCAGCCCCCAGGTACGCGTGGTACTTACGTAAGGGCTTATGAAAGTTTTAACGGGGAAATTGCTAACTCGGAAACTAGGAGAGCTAGAAGGCTGAAATATTAGGGGGGATGTCCCTTGTCCACGTACAACTTAAGTATTTCAAACTTAGCCTTGAGGCATGCGTGGTTGGCTCTTACTTACGGGCACATAAAATTTTGGCAGAATTTCTGATTGAACAACTAGGGTTACTTTTCAAGTGCGATCGTTAAATGGAAATTATACATTTACTTTATGTATGGCGATTTTTGCTAGTCACCGCAAAACGGAGGTGTAAAGCAACAACCATTCATGCTGTTAATGACCTGAGTACTTCAAGTGCGGTGCAAAAACGCATGATTGCACGGGCCCGCTCGGTGCGTTCCAGCCTGGGTTTTTTTCTCGAATGTATGTGCGATTGCAGGCTGGGAAACCTTGAAGGAGAAGCAGTGGGAATAAATGATATATTCGAGGCTGCACTTTGTTGGGAAAACCTAATTATCAAAAATTCAGGTGGTAGCGAACCAGAGCACTCTACTTAGGAGTTAGGCCGTTGGTTCTGTTTGTTGTATGAGTTATCAGTAGTCGAATACGAAAGGTATAGGGATGAGCAATTATTGCAGGTTCTTGCTGGAGCATGGTGCGTCACCGAAAGGTTTATGGACAGACATGAAATGGCCTCACTGCATACGCTCGCACATAGAACGCGCTGTCAAGGAATTAAAATTGCAAAATTTCTTATCGGTGCCACGAAAATATCTCTCACAGTAAGTTCTAATTCAGTAGTTGGCCTGAACCTGAGTTAGTCTGGTTCAGTTTTATAGTTTTCTTTGGCTGCTACTATATTATTTTTTTTCAACTGAGGTATTATTTTTTGTTGTTACTTACAATTATCATTGCATGAGTTTTCACACTTATTTCTCTAAGCATTTTATGTATTTGTTTTATATCTAACATTCCTTATTTTACATAATCATCACTATTATTATTATTATTATTGTTATTGTTATTGTTATTATTATTATTATTATTGTTATTATTATTATTATTATTTACATTAATTCGTTGATTTGGACCAATGAAATATGTGCTAGGGACATAACGATGGGTCGTGAGCCGGTAGCGATACCGCTTGAGAATGCTGTTGGCGATGGAGCGACGTTAGATGCAGATTTCGAATACATAAGTGCCGTTACGGATTGTGATGCGTTTCAAACACATATCGATTTCTCACTGGTTTATTCCTTTATTGCTATGTTTTTTTTTTAAACATAATCAATGGATTTTAGGGAGATTAGGCCCAAAGATGGACCGGAATGGAGACTTTTCGAGTAAATTATAGGATTTAGAATGAGATAGTTCTGATGCGACCTTGTTATAACTCCACATTCTCGAGATCCTCTTTTTGCGTACTGGACAATGGGCACGGTTATTTTATAATTATGAATTTGAAATCTCATTAGGATATAGTCAGTTCATGTACAATTTCATTATGTAGAGTTCTAGACTACCTCTCGGGAATGGAGTCGGGCTTAGGCATTGTGAAAGTCCTTTCCAGTCACTGAACCAGTTTGTACCAGACGTAAAGGGTTTGTTCTTAAGACGGGCTACTACTACTACCGCTGATAGTAGTAGTAGTAGTAGCCCGTCCTAAGAACAAACCCTTTACTTCTGATACAAACTGGTTCAGTGACTGCTGCTGCTCCTGCCGCTGCTTCTACTGCTGCTCTGCTTTTTTTGCTACAGGAATGACTGTAGGTTTATCGTGCCGGGGTTATACAAGCACCATCTGCTTCGCCTCCAATATATTTGGCTTTGAAATTTTGTAAACTACCGAACTGCATTAACAGAACGCCTGTTTTCTTCTGCAATATTCCATACTGCGTCTCGAAGGCGCCAGGAGCACCTTGGCCTAACACCGCAGCACATAGTTGTGCGTGTTTTTGAAGCGTCCATATTTGTTCTCACGGCATTTCTCCTTTGCCCAGCCGGGAATGCCGTGGTCGTGGTTGGTTGTGCTTCGGTAGATTTGGCCATCTTCGCTAAGTGAGCATTTGCAAAGACAGTTTGGTTGCCCTCAAGGCAACAGGAGCGTTTTGGAAAATGCAGTGAACCACAGCCAGAATGTTTACAGGCGTGTCGCTGCACAGACAATTGTCGGTCAAACTGTCCATGCCTGGCTCGCTGTACATATGACCCCAGCGGACGTTTGAATAGCCGAGCCTTGGAATTAGCAGACCGCGGCGAGTTAGGCGTGCTGCTGGAGTGCAGTTCCTGTTGTTTTTGTTCCAGTAAATGCAAATCTCGAGTCGCTCAAAGAGGCGTTCACTGCCGATTGCAGGTTATTTTTTGCATGAATTACCTGCATGCATACGGAGTACATCATAACAACATCCCTTGTTTCTCGTTCTCTCACTGTTTCTGCGTAAATGTGCGTTCAAGTAATTTAGATCAGAAAGTTTTGATGCTAGAAGTACGAAATTCTGAGAGCACAATCCCCAACTGTATACGCGGTTGAGTTCTTGAATTTAATCTTAAAAAATACTTTATGCTTCAGTTCATGACTCACTCTAGAATTAACGAAATTCTGGCTGGTTTTATTACAAGAAAATTCGGAGCCAAACCGCCATTTGGGGCGCATGGCTTGTATTGCACATCAGATAAATTTGGCGAGAAATCTTTTAACTTTGACCAATTATCAAGGGACTCGCTCGGTTTTTTCTAACTTATTACTTCATCTAGTCAACCCGGATTTTTATTTACGTTGACGGTCTTCTAACGGTCGGAAAAATAAATATTCTCACTCATAAAATGCGGTAATCATTGTTTTCTGCGCTAGGCAACTGCAGTACAGAGATATTCTTGGGAATGCACTATACCTACTAAGTGTGATAAAACTGTCATAAAGTGAACTGTTCAAATATGCAGGTTTATCGCTCGAAGAACTACGGCTGGGCTGTAAGGAGCTGCTCCTTAATTCAAAAAGGTGAGCAGTTTTGACCTGAATTTGTTATTAAAAGGCTCAATCTGAAAAAGATTGTGAACACTTACAGTTACACCTAGCACTGGGAGAAATTCATTGAGAATGAGTTCAATTTTACAAAGCCCTGGCCTCGTTTTTTATTCACTTTTATTGTGTAGTTTATTGTAGGAGATTTTATCTGTGAATACACTGGAGAACTGATTTCGGGCGCAGAAGCAGATAAGCGCGAAGATGACACGTACCTGTTTGAGATCAATGTAAGTGGATGCCTTTTTAAAAATGACATAAAACTGCCATTAGCTTGCTTCTAAGAAACGTTTGGAAGGCAGAGCGATCGGCAGCAGTACCAGCAGGAGTCTCCGTCCTGTAGAAGCTAAATCGTAATGGGTTCTGATTGAAGCGGTTGCTACGCTCAGTCCTTTTAGGGGCTGTGGAACATAAAAATCAGTGGTAAGAACTTTCCTCACTTCTATAAATTGGTAAGAAAGTGAGGACAAATGCATGACCTGTATCCCTGTCCGATAAACGAAAAATTTCATTCAGAAGACTATGATGGATAACTAGCAGTAAAAGTAATAAGCTTCTTCCTTCCATAAAAAAATGCAGAGCAGAAAGCATGATGTGTTAAAAGCAATCGTGATGGATGAACGTGCTACGAAGTAAAATTTTTATCTGCGATGAAGCAAAGGAAAGGGACAATGATGTCTGCCTGAGAGGCTTGCTTTGCCGAATAGTGCAAATATTTCATACTACACTTTCAATTATGAGTGTTATTTTTATAATATGAGAAATGGGGGGGAGGGGGGAGGGGGAGGGAGCGAGCAAAGTTAAAGATGTAGTCATAACATTTCAAGACGAATTCAGCCAAAATCTTTATTTAATAATGGCTGAAACCGCTTTATCTAGACGGCGAAAGCGACACTGTGCAAATAAATAGCGGCGTGCACCAGAGCAGCTGATACGATCATGCGTTTTTTGCAGTTCCGTCCAGCGCACATTTCTCACTAAGAATTTTCACTGTTCTACTGTTTGTTTCCTAAGCTGCTAAATTTCCCGTTAAAAATTCCATGTACTGATACCTGAAACGCAAATGTACGCGAAAGTTGAATTTGAAATCTTAGACGGTGAACATCGTTCCAAAATTCTGATCTCCTAAGTTCTCTGGCTCCCGAGTAACGTGCCACGACTCCCACGTGGACGTGCGTAAGACCGCGCCATACTTGGAAGATAAATTTGAGTTTATTAGGCCCTGGCATAGGCAGAAAACGTTCTCCTGGAGTTTTCAGCCTTCCAGCTTGTGTGGTCCTGGAAATAATTTCCCGCGCCAAAACTTTTATCTGGCCGTATGTAGCACCTAAGTGAACGGGAAGGCTGAATTCAAATTAGCGGGATCATAGGTGGGCAGGGACACCATCTTAAGATCTCATCTTTTCAACTTTCGTGGTTCACGAGGTGATAATTCTTCCCACCAAAACTTCTATGGGGCCGTATGTGGTACTCAAACAAATGGGAATGCTGGAATTTAAACATGCTACACGTGGTAAATGCACATTGCCAAAAAATTTCGTGGTAAATGCACATTGCCAAAAATACTTTCGTAGTTCTTGAGATAGTGATTTTCCTCGCCAAAACTTTCACGCGCTGTACGTGATACCCAGGCACACGGGAAGAATGAATTTAAATTTGGAGGCAATAAGTGGGCAGGGGACATTACCTTAAAACTTCAGGTTCCTAGCTTTCGTGGTCCTCGGAACAATAATTTTCCTGCCTGAACTTTCATGGTATCGCACGTGGTACCCGGATGTAGGGGAACGTCGAAATTAACTTTGTGGGTCACACCTGGGCAGAAAACATCCTCCTAAAATTTCAACTTTCTAGCTCTTGTGATTCACGAGATGAAAGTTGTGGAAAAAAAAACCCTCGGAAAAACACACACTGGCCCGTGACAAAATGCGTTTTGTGCAGCTGCAGCACAGCACAAAATGCATAAAAACGTGCCGGTGATTTAAAAGAAAGGTAAGCAGATGGAGTCAGATGCTGGTGTCAGATGCTTGAGAGAAATACCACATTTCAGGATGAATCTTCAGCGTACTGTGTCGATGCGAAGTTCAAAGGGAATGTGTCACGATTCATAAATCATAGTTGTGAGGCGAATCTAGTCATCTTGCGAGTGGTCTGGGATGCAAATATACGCCATTTTCCGCACATCTGCTTCTACGCCAGGAGGGACATCCAACAGGTGACTGACCCCTCTTTTAGCAGAAAGTTTTCCATCCAGTGAAGACTTTATTATTTTGAAGTGTGCTGAAGTTTTAGGGCGAGGAACTGACCATTGATTATGGAAATCAGTGGTGGGACGTGAAATTAAGAGATTTCTCGTGCCAGTGCGGCTCGGTTGCTTGTAAATACACAAACGCAATTCGCGAAGAGATGCTGCGCAGAACATTTGGTGCAGTTGTTGATCTGAACCAGCAGGCCTATGGTAAGCCTGAAGTTCTGGCAATTACCAAAATTCGGTTCAGCAGGCATCATACGCGGTCTGCGAAAAATTTTTTCTGGCGACAGCGGGTATGGCAAGTGGGAGAAAGGAGGTGTGCTGAGAGTTTCATTCGGGGCAAGGGAGACAGCGTTAAAGAGAAAAATACAACACAGCACTACAAAGAAAAATAAACTAAAGCAAACCCGAGCCTATGAATAAAAGCAAAATAAAAAAAAAAAACCTGGAGAACTGAGCTTGCGTGAATGGAAATTATCCTGTAAAAACCCATCGTCAGTAAGGGATTTCCCTATTTATGAAGCTGATGCTTAGGTAAAGTTAAGAGCGAATAAGTTCCATTGTAGGGTATGAATTAAGCAAAAAGAGGGGCTAGGCCTGAATTCATGGGAATTAAGTCAGCTTCCGCTTTCGTGAAGTTCTGGAGACTGAAAACAGAGGTGTAAGTGTTGTGCGCAGCTGCAGACTGCCGAAGGCAACACATTAGAGCTGTGTGGAATTTCTGCGTAAATTCAGTCGAACTTGTTCGCCCTCAGCTTCACCCAACCATAGGCTTCATAAATAGTGAAACCCCTTATTGAAGACGGGTTTTTGTAAAGCATTTTCCACTCGTATAAGCTCAGTTTTTGTCTGGCTCTGCTTTTTGCTTTTATTCACAGGTTCCAATTCCTTGATTTCACTTTTATTCATAAGCGCAAGTTTGTTTTAGTTTCATGGTACTGCATTGTGTTTTCCTCTTTATTTTGCTGTCTTTAGTTGCTGCTTTGGACTCCTGACTAGTACCTTTGTCCCCCCTTCTCTGTCCTGCCCCTGAAACTCCCTCTGGCGGCATCTAGGCACCCATTAACCACCACCCTCGAACCACGTCCCACCTCTTTATCACCACCGTTCCCCAACTACGTCGTCCAGTAGCCGAGGTCTGAGTAACGCCCCAGTACCCGCTGGCAAAATGCCAAGCAGTGCAGATATGTGGCCCAAAAAAAGGCATTAGCGGAGAAATGAGGGCGTTTCTCAGTGGCGACCAAGCCGAGTCAAGTTTTTGATAACTGCCTGGCGTTCCTGTTATTGCCCTGACCCTGTGTACATCCTGTCCTCCCTATTTTCGAAGTAAATATTCATCGAAATTTCATTTTCTGGTAGTCCTTGAATTTGCACTTTAGTCATTTCCCCTCTCGTATGTGAAAAATCAGTTTCCAATAAGAGGGCATCGGCCATGGCGTCAACGCAACACATTTTATGCCAGAAATGATGCTTCACTTTTTCATTGCCAAACCGACCTCTCTGATGCCCATTCATTTGCATCCGAGTACTTCCGGACTGACTGATTTTGTGATCTTCCATGGTAAATTTTGCAATTTCTCCCACGTGGATGACATGACGCCTCTGTCAAGGAGGAGAGGGAAGTCCTCCTCTCTTTCCTTTGTCCGCAAAATGCATTGCGGCAGGAGCACTTGACGTGTTTTTCAGACAGTGACAACTCGCGCGATTCCCAAGGCGAAGTGGACTACTAGTAGCCGCAGGTACTGCTCATTCGCATACTGCTTTGTCAGTGTTCGAGCGTTTGATTGCAACATCTCGGTACTTCCGGAGAAATTTGCTCGATCTCCTCATAATAGGCCATTCATGAATTCGAGTCCTGATTGTGACAAATTTGCCTTGTGTAGTCGTTTTGTGCGTTTTTGTGCTTCTTCTGATTGTTGCTCCCCGATTCTAGCCGTCCTCTGACTGTTGCCTGTATAAGCTGAT